TGCCAGATCCAGATAAGCTGACGCAAGGCTTTGTATGCATGCCTGAGGAATTTCCGGCTAGAATTATTCCAAGGTCTGAGGAAAAGAAGGCACAGGTCATCGACAGTTGGAAGAAGGCTGAGAAAGATGTTCTTGATCCTGAGACAAAGCAGTGGCGTTAGAGAATGACCTCAATTAATAATTATCTATCTATCTATCAATTTTTCATAGTTGACTAAAGTCAATCATCAAGAATGGTACTGCAGCATTGCTTCATCATGTGTCCCGACACTATTCATATCTCGGAGGCAGATCGTAATCTATATGCATAAACACTTAGGCGGAGCCCAACAGCTCCTCGACAAGACCAGCGACGGACTGGACGACGGGGTACTTGGGGAAGTTAGGCTTGTAGACCTGGGATATGTTAGGATCGAGTCTTTCAGGACTAATTTGGTATGAGAACTTACAGCCTGACAGACAGCGTTGAACTCGCTGCGGGGAGCCTTGCCACGGGCAAGCTCATCACCGGGGACTCCAAGCTTGACAACCTCCTCGGCCTTGTCAACAGTGTCCCAGCCGGGTCCAGCAGCGGGGTTCTTGATCCACTTAACAAACCAGCTGTGGATAGAATCGGCAAGGGCCTGCTGAGCCTTGGTGACACCCTGAAGAGCGGCGAAGCACTCGTTACCACCGTGGAAGAAAGGAACCTCGGTGCCGTGGGTAGGAGCAGTGTTGGGGGGTCCAACAACGTTGTCGTACTTGCCGAAGAAGCGGTAGACCCAGGTCTTCTGCTGCTCACTTCGCATGTCGAGGAGGTAGTCAACGGGACAGTTGAAGCGAGCATCACCGTACTGGATGCCGCTGCGGAGAGACTCGGTGGCGTAGTCGTTGGGGTTGTAGGCCTGGATCAGAGACTCATCGGGGATATGAGCGCTGTCAGCATCGAAGGTGTTGATCCAAGAACTGAAGTTGCTGTTCTCAGCACCGTAGACGAGGCTGAAGATGGTGCCCTCTCCATTGGAGGTACCAGTCAGCATGGGGACATGGGAAGGATAGTTTCCGGCAGCGAAACGGGCAGAGTAGTCAGAGAAGCGGGTGATATCGTCAATGACGGGAGTGAACCAAGTGTTGAAGGTGGAGTTAAAGTTCTTGGTCTGGAAGTCAAGGATATCCTTGCTGCGGAGACAGTCGAGCTGTCCGTTACCGCCCTTGGGGCAGCCAACTTCCTCGGCCACGGCGTTAAGAGCCTCATCGACAGGAGCGTAAGCGGGGCCGGACATGGCGTTGGCGCTCATCTCGACGGCACCCTTGAGGAAGGTGTTGGGGTTGTTCCATAGGTAGTGATCGACCTGGACACCACCCGAAGAGTGACCACCGAAGACGATATGGTCTGGGTTACCACCAAAGGCTGCATAAACGTTAGTCACGTTTTACATGTGATCGATAAGCGTGAAACATACCCTTGATGTTCTTGTGGACCCAGTCAAGAGCCTTCTCAACATCCAGAATGCTAAAGTTCTGTGTCTCATCAGGGTTGGCGGTCTTGAGCTCGGAAGAGTGAGGAGAAGCAAAGATGCTCTCACGGGTGTTGAAGTTGACGTAAACAACTCCATTGCGAGCAAAGTTTGTGCCCTGGATTTGGGGGTTGCTGCTGGAGCCAGTGACCATAGCACCACCATACATGTAGACGAATACCTAGTGGGTGTCAGTTTATGTCTCGGAATAATATGCGGACGGGTAGGGTAGGGCTGACAGGCATGTTCTTGCCCTTGGATGGGGCCCAGATGTTAAGGTTCAGACAATCCTCATCTTGGCGCGTAAAGGCATCGTTTGAGATGGCTTGAGGGCATGTCGCACCATATGACGTAGCCTGGAACTTGGAACGAGACTTGGGGAGGTCCTGAGGAGCCTTCCATCTACACCAGCGTCAGCTCATCAAAATGTGAAACAAGCAATTAGATGACCTACCTGTTCTGGCCGCCAGTGGACGCAGCAAAAGGAACACCAAGATAAACAGCGTTACAGTGCTTGTCACGGAAACCTTGAATGTCACCCTGAGGGAGAGCAGCGTGCGGAATTGGAGGACAGGGAGGTTGAGGCGGCTTCGCAGTCACAGGGACAAGACACGTGGCGGCCAGGATTAAACCTGTCGTTGTGAACATGCTGCTGAGGCCCATGATGAGGAAGGTGATGTGACGGGACGGAAAGAGGTGAAGATCGACTGAGACACGAGAAAAGCTTGAAGAATGAGTGGACAGAAGTTCCCGCAGCTTTTGGTTTTATTCACCAGAAGATGCTTGCTATAATTCGATTCGCCTATATCACAGACGAAGAATTTCCGAGAGGCGGACGCTTAGCTACAAAGAGACGCCTGAGCGGTCTCGGCAGTGGGACCAAGGCCCTCTAGTGATGGGGCCTCTAACTGTATTCAGTAGGACACAGCCGGAACATGCACTACAATAGAGTTTCGCGGAACGTGCACCGGTCGATTTTGTCATGCATGATCCGAGTCATGGATCCAGAATGCCTGTAAAATCTCGAGTTGGGAACGGAAAAAAAGACGTCGGGGAGTAAAAAAAGGGGTTCACGGGAAGAGCGGGAGGCTGGTGAGACTATTGAAAAGAAACGCCGGATATACTGCGTAGGGTCGAGGTTGAGCGGCTTCACGGCCAACTCTGTTAGTTGCAAGCCTCTGCCGTTGATAGCATCAGAGGTGGACATTTCACGCTGATCTTTTGATGCCAGATGGATCCGAGGCTCAGTGTACGATCCCACTTCGCTTATCCATCAGCGCAAAATGACAGAATTTGTGGATTGACATTTCCTTGATGGTTGAGGCTGTTCTCTAGGATAGGAACTGATCGGCCAAGCTACCCCTGGTCAATCGCTGCAGGGCCATTTCGCCGACCGAGCTTGATAATCAGCAAGCACAGATCTCTCGCATCGGACTGGAACCCTTACGACGATCCTCCGAGGCACATCCCGAGGCAGAAGGTTACGGGAATCCCCTCTCGGCGCCGACAAACACGTCCCTTGCATATCACATCGACCAATCCAAACACACGGACGTCAGCCCAACGCCTTTGCTGCTAATTCCGCTCAATGTCACTTGAGTCATGATATTAGCAAAAACAAGACACTAATGAACAGCACCTTACGAGATGTAGCCACAGCCAATATTTGTGCGGAGTGTCCACCTTGTTGTTCCGAGGTTTTTCTTTCCGCGCCACTAGCTCAGGTGCACAAGTCCATCATGACTGGATATCACCGCGTAAAATCCCCATTTGGTGCCCTTTTGACTTCGGAGCTAGAGACAAGTCTGTCGCCGACTCTCCACAGAAGTAACGGCTTCTGGAATCTCACTGTGACAATCTCTTACACAATGAGCTGATACCAAGGACCGAGTCCACGGGTCCTGTTGATCAGGGGGCCCTTGGGTTTTGGTGGTTCCGGATCCTTCGGTAAGAAATAAGTCTTGCTGCATTCCCACCTTGCCTTGCATTCTGTGCTGGGTTGTTTTGCAGATCAGATCAGATCAACGTCGCAATGGCTGAGGGTCTGGGACAAGTTGTAAGTTTATACTTTGGACGAGGGCATGGTGATGTTTTTTGCTGATGATGATTTAGATTTCGTGGTACATTTGTACCGTCATTGCGTGCATCTTTCTGATTTTGAGAATATGGGTTCGTGTGCGCAAGCTTGGGCTGTTGGCGATCGACGATGGACTCATTATCCTGGCGGCGTGTTGTTTGATCGGTGATTTGATCATTCAACAGCATATGTGGAATTTGGGAATGGCGGACATGGCGAATGCTTCTCGCGATGACTTTATCCAGATCATGAAGGTGAGTTGATGTCTCTTGATCGCACGAGTGACATTTGCTAACAGCCAACAAGATGATTGTTCCCGGGTCGATTCTTTACGTCACCTCGTTATGGGCCATCAAGATTGCTCTGGTTCTCTTCTACAAACGACTTGCTGCGCCCGGCACAAAACTGCAGGTTATTTACAACGTCACTCTTGGTCTCTTGGTGATTTTCTGGGCTACCATCTTCTTCCATATCATTTTCCAATGCTTCCCGCATGACAAGAGATGGTCGCAAGATCCAAACTGTTTGTCATATCTTTCTCAATTGACACTACATATGCTGACGATTTCACAGATCAGTGCGACCCGAAGGAGGCAGAGAAGAACTATTGGTTAACTGTTATCCGTATGTTATCCTTTTCTTGGAGTCTCTATGCGCAATGCTAACCACCAAACAGTCAACATCGGTACCGATGTCATTAGTATGTTGAGACGATACGAGTCAAGTTGCCCGACTAACATATCGCAGCCATCAGTCTTCCCATCACCATGGTTATGAAGCTCCAGATGAAGACAAAGCAGAAGATCGGTGTCGCAGCTATCTTTGCCCTCGGGTTCTTAGTCGTCATCGCAAGCAGTGCGTCCTCCAACCTGGCTACCACGAGCTCTGCTAACATCTCCAGTCATTCGAGCCTACTACTCCAAGAAGAACGAAACCATGTTAACATGCACCGTCTCCATGATCGAAACAGCCGTCGCCATCATCGCAACCTGCCTCCCACGTACGTCCCATCCTCTCCATGACCTCCATCCCACTAACAAACCGTCCAGCTCTGCGAACACTCTTCCTCGGCCAAATGTCCTCCGCCCGATCAGGCTCCAACTACGGACGCTACGAGCTCTCCTCTACCGGCCAACCACGATCCCGACGAACGAACCAAAGCCGAATCGTCACAAACGTCATGGGCGGTACACAAAAGCTCGACAACGATTCACAGGACGAACTGTTCAAGGAGTCTGCGCATTCAGTGGCGGGACGAAGTACGACCAGTGATAAGACTCCTGGTATCACTGTAAACACTACCATTCATATGCATCACAGCAACGAGGAGGAAGCCAGACGATCGCAGGCTAGGCTTGATAGCTTCGCGTAGATTCTTTTATGTGTTGGATATATATAATTTGTAATAATTTATGGAAGCGATGTGTTTACTTGCAAGTAAAAGAGGATGCGACGTCTGGGTTGCCGCCCTTGTAGGTCAGCCGCTTCGGATAAGCACACAGCTCAATAGCTCGTCGCTTTTCCGTGCCAACAGTCTCCGCATACAGAGTCTCGGGCGCTTTACCATGCTCAACCCACTTGACAAGAGCGTCAAAGGCACTTCCAGGATACCATCCATCGCCACCTTTACAGTGCCCGACACCCGGTGCTTCAAAGAATCTGTAGTAATCCGTTGCGCTGGAGTCTTTTTCAAGAACGCGCTTATAGTAATCTACTGATCCTTTGTGGGGGATGAGTTGATCTGCTGTTCCGTGCCACGAGATCAACTTTCCTCCTGCTTTCTTGAAGTCCGTCAGATCCGGGTCTGATGTGCCCATGACTGAGGCAAACCTGTTGACGGATTGCCGGAACAGCTTGCTGTACTCTTCGTGGGACAGTTTATCCAGACTAGCCGACTGGTCTTGAAGGAGGAAAGTGGTGAGCCAGTCTTGAGCAATGGCGAAGGGGTTTGAAGTGCAGTCCTTCAGCGATGTGCATGTTGTGTTGGCAAGACCACTCAAGTCCGCACCACGATCAAGACCATACCAGAGAAACTTGCCGTCTTCTGTCTCTGGTCCACGCCATGTCAAGCGAGCGACCTCAGCACCCTTCTTGGAAATCTTGATTGTGCCGGATGGGTTGGTACATTCTACAGATTTACCAACGACAGACTTGGGATCAAACTTGCAGAGATCTGGGTTCGAGATGACGCCATCTTTGACTCCATCAAGTTGGTCACATGCATCGATGGCAGCCTTGGTAATAGCCTTGAGCTCGCAGATAGGAGGGTAATAGCCTATACAAGATTAGCTTAGTTTTCTTATATTTGAGCCAGGGTATTCTTACCGAGTTTGTGCATAACAACTTGCGGCCAGTACTCCGATGTTACGAACTTATCCCAGTTGAAAGCAGAAGCGGTAGCAAGAACGCCATTATACTGAGTCGGGTATCTCTGCGCCATCATATGGCCCTGTCGTCCACCTGTAGAACATCCCTAGAAGTCATCAGTGAAGTTCATCTCCCAAGAGCATGAGGTGCTTACGTTCCAGTATGAGTACTTTGGCTTCTTTCCATAATATGCCGCTGTCACAGCTTTTCCCAACGTCGCTGCATCGTCCAGAGAGACAGCTGCAAAGTTCTGCAAGGCAGGCCAGTTGAGGTTTCCAGTGCTATCCAACGCCCAGTCCAACTCCTGTCTATTAGCTAAGAGGTGGCCACCATCTGTAGTGGCAGCGGCATATCCGTTGGAGGCAGGTTGTGCAAGGTCGGGAATGTCCCCTGTTGACCAACCGCCGCCGCCTACACCAACAAATCGCCCGTTCCAGCCTGACACTGGCAGTGTTACGTATGTGTTGATGGTGTCATTCCAGCCCGGGTGCGTGTACTGGACCGTGACTTGACACACGGGAAATGGATCAGTTGAGTTGTTGGGCCATTCGTTGGTGGGGAACGACGGCAGCTCCGCGTTGGTGAGATTGGTGCTGATAGACAGAATCTTGGCATTGGCGAGCTCTACGGAGCGGAATGTATGGTCTGTGCAAGTGGGCTTCCCAAGCACGCTTTGGAAGCCCTGAAACATGAAAGCAAACGACATGGCGGAAAGGTTTGAGGAGAGCATGGTCACAAAATGCCTCTCAGGCTTAGCGAGGTGGGGGTAGGTCAGAGAACGAGATGTCAATTGGCAACCGCAAACAAACAGTCAACTACGTAAGAGAAATCATTGTATTTCCTCTGATATATAATACTCCATCAGTGGCATAAAGCCCGAAGTGATCATCGTCAGCAAAGCCATGCATTTACTCCTCTCCTCACTAGGAGACCGACTCATTGGACAAGCTATCTATTCCGAGGAATACACAAGACTAGCTAAGATCAGCATAGAAAATCCCCAGATTCGGCCGGACGGTAACTGCTCACGGGAACGAATATCCTGTCCCTTGATACGCAAAAGAGACCTATTTTCGACGTATCCCCGGATAATGTAGCATGGGCAGATCCCCGGTAGGATCGCAAAGTTCCATCGGTCAAGGGCTTAACCTTGTTGCGGTAAAGTTACCCCATGTTCCCATTTCAATACCGCGGAGACTAGTCGACATTTGGACTACCCCACGATTCGGGGTCTGAAGAAGACTCCGTCCAAGTAGCAAATCCGGGGTATTCTACCATCGGGAAGTGATAATTGTTGCTTGTGAATGGACGGAAAAGCGCTGTTATTGACTCGATTTTCAATGACTCGTGAAACATTCGGGGTTTACATATACGGAGCCCACAAGCAGTCCTGGGGTTCGGGGGGCTGCCCGGTGCATCTGAAAGTAAAACCAAGTGAATGATTTTGCTGGAAATTTGTTTTTTATAAATTTCATATAGCATGAAATTATCATATATCTTATTCCTTTGGCTTCTGGCCAGTGACTATTAAGCAATCAAACATCGGATGCACAGATCTATCGCGCGATGCCTCTCTGACACGCGCATTGAAAAGCTCAACCTCTTCACGCGACCATCCCAGGACATCAGTAAACAACACGGCCGTAAATGCAGCTACACCCTCTCTCATGTTGACTCCCATCAAAGTTCCGATTTCCTTGAGTCGTTCATCTTTAGGCCATGGCCCGATTGGAAGCTTGAATCGCTCCTCTTTGACACTAGCGAAACCAGCTTCCTTAGCCCATTCTTGGAAAGACGGCGCAGGATCCATGGTTCTTCCAATCTTATCGCAGGCTAGCTTTAGATGGTCCATCATCTGTACCAACGCGTTGTCGGGCTTGAGCGAGTCATCCTCGGAATAGAGCGTATTGGCCGTTTCTTGAAGCTCGATCCAGCCGCCCGGCCTCAAGTTGGCGTATGCTTGTCGCAGTAGTCGAGGCCAATCCTTGATTGACCCAGCCATGTATCTGCAGTGGATGTAATCATATGGGATCGGTTCAACCCATTCCGCTTCAACGTCGTCAACGATGAATTTGACATTCGGAGGAACCCAGTCTGGTTGTATGGGGCTTAGGTCATTTCCGACCACAGTCGCAGAGGGATGCTCGTCTCCAAATTGGATCGCCCAGATTCCTGTTCCTGTCCCTATATCAAGAACGTTCAGTCCCTCTGGGTCTATGGGAGCTAGGAACAATCGATCCTTTACAGTTCGGCAAAAGACGTGGTGAATCATGTCAAGGCGATCCTGCTCTTGGTCGTCGTTGGGAAAACTGTACTGTCCTGCACGATCACTGTGGTATCGCCGACCATGTTTCCATTTGTACTTGAGCACGCTGCTAGCAATGGATGTAGTCGCTCCCACGGAGTCAGCGCTGAAGGCAGACTCAGAGTCGGTGGTGTTTTCGTCCACCTGGACTTCAGGCGTTGTTGGGTTATCAGACATCTTGGCAGTTGTCAACTATGGAAACCAAGGTACGTGGATGCTCTTGTCCGTATGATCAATAATAATAGAAATTATTGCGTGTATAACATGATGGTCGCATACACAAAGTGGAGTTGCCACGCAAGCAACGGCGGCCGGGGCATGGAAAAACAACTCATCCACTAAGAGCATATGCGGTTCTGAGGATGAGTGTAACCTCAGATATATTGCAATACCGAGGTTGCTGATCATCATAAGATCAAGACTTTGATATGCACGTCTGATAAATGCCCCATCAAAACGCCTTTTCTGGAAGGTGGATAAAATAACAACCCATGTCTACTGCGTCTTCTGATAGAGGCTTGTTGCATACGAAAACCTCATCGATAAGATAAGACAACGTGGCCGAGTGGTTAAGGCGATGCCCTGCTATCTCTTCCGAGACATCATAGGCATTGTGTTCGCACGCGTAGGTTCGAATCCTGCCGTTGTCGATGTTCTTTTTGTATCTACAAGACTAAGTTTCGTTTTGTTTTCGTTTTGTTGGTCAGTTTGTATCTGATTTTATGTGCTGAGCATTTTACCGCATTGGGCGGGGCACTGGTGATATTCCCGCCATGAAAACTTGGGGAGATCTAAACACGAGATAATGGCACGTGGCAGGTTTAATGCGTCTCTAATTTCTTATATACTGCTAGCATAGCATGGGAGACATTGGTAAAAACGATTAAGAGCTACTGGACTGTTCGCCGTCCAGATGAATGATGAGCTTTGTGATGGGCAATGGTCTCAACTTCCAGTGTTTCTGTCGCAGTATTTTCAGGTAGCTAAGTTCATGAGACTGCACTTCCTGAGGAATATTGCTTGTCTCAATATCGATAGCATCAATCCCAGATTTCCACACCATTCAAAGTGCCGGCTACACTGGCTCCACTGGGTACTCATTCCTCACCCATCTTAATGTCCCCTTCGTTCCCTACTATGGCCGGAACCACCAGTACCTCCAGCTCTGTCAGCTTCCCTCCACCAAGGCTCACCAGTTCCAAAGGTACCATATCATCCATGACTTATAGAACATCAGAACCGGTTTTACTGTGAGTCAATCCTTCCAGCTTCGCAGCCAACTTCTTGGCCTGTTGAGCACATTTCTCTGTCTCTCGTTTCGCCAAACCAACCATCTCATCAACATTCTTGAGGTCTTGCTTCTTTTTATTCAAGAGCTCGGTAGTCTTTTTGGAGTCATCTCTAAATATTTTCAAAGACTTGTCGCAGCGTTCGAGGGCCATGTTCCAGCCCTCAACATTTTCAGAGGTTCGGCGCTGGATGATTCGGAGGATAGAGCCTCGGATAGTAGCGCTGTCCTGTATGTCCTGTCGGATTCTGGTCAAGTCATTCTGTGCGGTGTTGAGTTCTTGTTGAAGCAGTTGTCGCGAGGAGTTCAATGATTTCAGTCGTTTTTCATTCTCGTTCTGCTGGGCGTTGATGCAGTCGGCCTCGTTTCGAATGGCGATAGTCTTGCTGTTCAACCGTGAGATGTGGGCGTTCTATAGCAAAACATCAGTCAATAATGTGCTTGATGGTAATGAAGACACAGTTTTACCTCATCATCCGTGATGTCCTTTTTTCTCACATCTTGGTGGCCCGCCCCACGCGTAGCACTGGGCGTAGAAATAGTCTTAGATGATTTCTTTTGCCGCTTTGACGCAGGGACGCTACCAGCTGTGACTTCACTCGTAGCTTTTCTCTTTTTACGCCGACTTGCATCCCCTGTTGGCTGGCTCTCGATAAGCCCATTACCGAGTGGTTCGGGAGACGGAGACTTGGTCAGGTCAATGAAAGGTGTGGTTGCAATATCGCGATCATCGTTCTGGTAGACTCTGGGTCGGGGTGGCGGACTTGATGAAGGCGCGACGACGATTTTATCTTGAACCAGAGTAGCATCACTACTCTTGGCGTTATCTCCGTCTCTGGTGCGCGGAAGACCGGCACTAGGCTTCTGGGAATTGTTTGCTCGACTTTCTAGCTCTTCAAAGTGTACAGACTTTCGGCTAGGTTCGTTTCGGCTTTCTTTTTCGGTCGTTTTCCTTTGTTTCTTGTTGGAAGGAGTCTGTTTGGATAGGGCCTCTTTCTTCTCTCCAATCCACTAGATTGTCGATGTGATATCTCGGCCCTTGAGTTTGGAGTACGCGCCTCCCTTCTCGACAATAGATTCCAAATGTTTCATGACAAGCGTGAGCGAAATCTTAGGCGAGGACTGGGCAAGCTTGATAGCCTGGTGCAACTTTTGAAGCAAGTATACAGTCCAATGGGGAGACAGACGTTCGTCGTCGAAGAGTTCCCATGGCCACTTGCCGCAGGCTTTGCGGATGCGTTGGAAGTAAGTCTGAACGGAAGCACCACCGATTTTGTTGAATGGAGCTGGAACTGCGGTCTCGCTCTCTGCGGCAACAGTTGAAGGCGACATAGTCATGACAGCATGAGTTGTGAGGAGAAGCGGGAGAAAGTGAAAGATTTTCGATGATAAAAAGGAAAAGGCAGATGGTTTTGAGTGGACGTGAAATGATAAGACACGTGATTCTCCAGGATGTGAGTGGCCGCGCAAGTTAAACAAGAGAGGTTATGCTTTGCGATGTCGCATTTGTGTTGTTGTTTCAAGGTAGCGCGGAGTTGAGGCACTGATTCGTTTCTTAGAAGGTTGTGGGGCGATGTACAAAAATGGCTGCGCATTTATCTTATCGCACCGTAATCTTAACGCATCTCTTCGTTGATGGTAGTTTTTACCCTATACTTTACAAGTTCTGCTTTCTAAAGCAAGCCTTTTACGAGAGATTTAAGATATCAATATCTCTTGGAATATGATATAATGATTCTGGTAAGTATGAGAATTTGTTCGTCTCTGACACCTATGTGAGCAGCTTTGTAGTGCTCCCGTCGAGCCAAAAAAATGATATTCTTTATTTAGACATAAAACAAAGTTGAGTCATAAGAGCAATGTTACGTTGTAATATCGAGAGGAACACCAAATATTTCTTGCCTCCTTGCAGCCTTGAGCTAGTCTAGAGAACCACAGCCAATTGATAAAATGGTAGTCGCCTTATGTAAGTTCTTCGTCGATTTCGTCGATATGAGCAAAAATGTGGTTCCGCCCGGGATCGAACCGGGGACCTTCTCGGTGTTAACGAGATGCCATAACCAACTAGACCACGGAACCAGGCCTTATAATTGGATGACAGACCGTCTGGCAA